TTTTGGGTGTGTAAAACTAGGCATAATAACTTGTGTAAAGTTAAAGAAATAGACGCATGTTTTCTATATGACATTTTGCATCCTACCTGGTGTCTACGTGTAATATGTCAAGTAGGACCTGCGTGTCTACTTGTTCATTTTGATACAAGTTTAACTATCCACTTGTCCACACTCTAAGCCAGAAGATATAAATATCCGCGGAAGCCAAGTTAAATGACACATTTATGTATATGTTAAAAGCACATTACTTTGGTGCATGCATGTACCATATTGTAAGATTTCCTCAAACACACCAAATATCATTAGAAACAAATATAACAGAATATTTATGGATAAAGATTATGCTCTATAAATCACATAAAATTGAACTTCACTTCATGTCAACTACAGAACAATAAGTTTCATCAATCCTCTGGGAAACCTAAATATCTATATATAAGTTCAGCAACTGGTTTCGCGTCACCTGGTTGATATGGAACAAGAGACCCTGGATCCATATCCGATATAGTCTTGTATAATGTTTGTGGACGAGCACAATACAAATGTTTTCTCTCAGCCAGTTCTTCTGCGAGCTCGCTTTGATGGTTGTCCATTAGATCCTCATTGACTACCACTATTAACGGTTTGCCCAGTCGTAATGTCTCAAATATGCTCCCTGAACCTGCAGTACTCAAATGTGTATTACATAGCCTTAGCCTTGCAACTTTTGAAGTCCTATAATGAGAAGAAATATCGGTTGTTTTTCCTATTCACAACAAGTTTTACAAATTATTACTTTAGAACTCCATAACTCAAAAGAACAAATATCTTGAACCCATAAGCTTCTGGTTCCGCTTCTGCTCAGAAACGAAGGGCATGAACTTTACAGCCAATCATATGTTTATGAGGCAACAAGCAATAGCAGCCGAAAACATTTGCAAGCAGAGGTTGACATTAAATCACATCATGAGATAGACGTGTTAAAGAAAACAGGAATATTTCAACATACTTGAACACCCCTCTCCCAACGATTCTGTGTCAGTTATTGTGACCATTGGAACAGTATGAAAATGTTTCAAGTGTCTCAGTGAGAGAGCTAACTTTGGGTTTTGGCACCATATAACCAGTACCTAGATCTATGGGTTAATTTCCCTAGGCAGGGCTAATATATACACATTTTAATGGAACAATGATATCCAAAAGGCTAGTTTCTCCAATCCGAGTAGAAGGAAGAGTAGAGTTAGAAAAGTTAAGGAGACCCCAAAAAGAAAGACAAAAGAAAGTACACACCATATAGTAACTCGTGTTTTGTTGCTGTGGTTAGGAAAGGAGTAATTCATGTATTAAAATAAGCATAGTTAATACAATGTTTGGTAGCATTTTAGTTGTTTTGTATAAAATTACCGACTAAGGAGTTTCGTTATTATATTACAACCCCACATGAATAAAACAGCTATAAGTTATAAAAATGAAATAACTAAACATTGCATAATTAATCACTACAATTCTAAAACATGCATAACTCTAACTAGCAATCGAACAATCACTTAAATGTATAAAGCTAAGAACATTGTCAACCATGAATTACCTGCGTGGCTGATAACAAGTGATGCTGACTTCAAATAGTCAGCTATGCTTGATGAATATGTGAAGTAATCCAGAGCTGGAGAACCATTTTCAGCAGTCGACTGGAAAGATAAAGCAAGATATAAAAGACCAGAAATAAATGAATTATTACTGGGCAAAGAAGAGTTGACGAGTGAGACGAGTAAATTTTGCAAAGGTAGATATATGTAAGTGAGTGAGCGTGTACAAGTGTTCATTTCTATAGAAGGGTTAAAAGAGATTCCATACCAAATTGCGACAAAACCTAACATAAAAAGCATAAAACTAATAGGGTCCATAAGTTTAATGAGATGGGAGCACCCAAAAGAACCTAAACGTAATGCCACGTCACACTTTCCAAATCTCTCGTTTTATTGTTCTTCAGGACAGCTGAGACTTGGTAACCACATGTAGGATCTCGGCTTGTCAAATAGTTCAGCATGCTAAGGTCTAGTCACTACTCGGACTAAAGCTTATCCAAGCATATGCGAACATAAATTCTTCAAAACTTTCAATTTACTTTGTTAAGCAGACTTACTTACAAGTGGTAAGAAAGCAACATGTGATGTGTGAGTTAGGCGAACATTGCCGGTTGGAATCTTGCTGCAGACACCTGGTATTTGAGAGGAAAAGGGTAGAGGAATGGGTCAATCATCCACCAAGTTTCGAATGGTGATATACACAAGGAAGAGGGTAGAGGAATGGGTCCATCATCCAAGTGTTAAATGGTGCGTCACTGGCCCTTGGAGATTTTTCTGTTATACAAAGAAAAGAACTCTATACTTTCTTCGCAGCAAGAAAACCAAAAACAAAACAGCAATTTTTTTCAAAAAAAACTGGAAAATCAGCAATTCTGTATCATTTCTCAAAATTTCACTTAAATAGGCAACTCAACTAGGTTTGCATTTTTATTTTATTTTTGTTGTTGGTTTCCACACGTAGTGTTCAGGAAAATGAAGCGATTGAGCCTTCTACGCTTCGAGTATGTGAGCGCTTCATCGCTTAAAGCATGAAGCAGGTCCTTATCGCTTTTTTCCGCTTCACGCTTCCCCGAACACCCACGATAGCCACTCTGGAACTCGACTTATCCATTTTACCGCCACTTAAGGACCTAAACCTCTGGTTAAGGGCTGGGCGATCCTATCCATACCACAATAACCCTAATCCTTCTATTTTTTCCTTGAGGGGACATTTGTTGGATCTCCAATCAAAGTAGAAACTGAAAAGCTGAAATTTTTACTCCAAATGTGCTTACAGGAAAAAACAAATATCAAGAGAAATACCAAATTACCTTTGTGGGGATATACAATCCTCGCCCCATTTGAATAAGAATATCAGTGTAACCTTTCTTGAACAGTTCTTTCTTCACTTCCGGGGTATCCACCGCTCTTACAAGAGCATCAAAAGAAGTTGTCCCCACGGTCACAAAAACTACTCTCTTCTCCTTCGCAATATCATCTATATCACCCATTTAGAATTTCCAAATTACATTCAACAATTCAAATCTGCAATTAACATTATCGTAACATTACAAATCAAAGCAATAGACAATAATATTGAAGGGGGATTTCAAATGGACAAACGGAAAAAAATTAAGCAGAGTTCCCTGTAATCAAAATATCCAAACTTCAAAACAAATAATCGTGCAATAACCAAAATAGAAAGCTAAAACAAGCCGTCAAATGCAATAGCAGGACATCTAAAGCTCAATTGAATAAGAAAACACAAGTTTAAACGAAAATTACGAAGAAAACAAAGCATTGTTCATTATTTGAAGCCAGGAAAAAGCTAAAATAACAATCAAAGGCGATAATTTGCACATTTTTGAATGAAATCAGACGTGCGTATAGATAAAAAATCCTAAACTAAATAATCAAAGAATCAGCTAAGTATGAAAAATACAATAGACATTTATGTGATAAAAGCAGACTGTAAAAAAAGAGAAAACGGAAGGAACGTTACCTTTTCCGGTGGAGCGAACTGAGACGACGAGTGAGAAGAGAGCTCGGTGGCCGGCAATTGAGAGACTGAAAACCGGTAAGATTTCGGGTCCATTTAGGCCTGCTAGGAGGAGTTATCAGTTGGGCCATGGGCTTTCTAGTTAAATGGGCTCTAAATTATATTTAAAGAAAGGAAAATTACGCGAAATGACAAATATCTATAGTATATTATGTAATATAGCTATATTTTCAATTATTTGAAATCCATGACTACAGTTTCGTGAAATTTCGCTATTTGATTTCCTAATGTATAAATTCCAAAATTGTATAATTCGGTCTCTGACTGCACAAATTCAGAATGTGTATAATTCGATTTTCAATTGTATAAATCCATAATTTGTATATGCTTGCCTTCACTACTTGTATACGATTTATGAAAAATTCATAATGAATTATTGGTAAGAGAAATATACAGATGGAGTTCTGACAAATACCTAAATGTATAAATATAGAATTCGTATATTTACCCTATTTGTATATTTCGCTTGTAAATATACAAATATACAAATGGACAAGCGAAATATAAAAACTATAGCCTCCGTTCGTATATACTGACGTTGTTTGTATGTATATTCACAAGTGAAATATACAAAAGAACAAACGAAGTATACAAATCGTAGCCTCCATAGGAAATGAAACTATAACTATAGAGTACGGTTGCCGAAATTATTGCTACAAGCCTTATTATGTTTATTATCTTTGATATTTCTGGATTTTTTTTCTCTTTTAACTTAAAAAAGTTTAGGTCAATTCTTCAAAGTATAATTTATTTTTTAAAAAATCAATTTATTTGTCTTATTCTTCGTTTATTTCATTTTTAAAAAATAGTATGTATCTCTTTCCTGATTTGTCTAACTCTTTAATTTCAACTTTACACGTGACGTTCCTTTCATGCCAAGAAAAAGTTTCAACTCCATGATATTGGTTGTTCTTTCTACCTAAACTTCTGGCTAACGACAAGAGAAAAGAAGGGACAAAGCAAGCCGAAAACTTCTAGCTTTATTACCGGACAAAAATATCTTCCTCTAATTCCTGGAATGATAGTGAGTTTGCTTCTTCAATGTTGTACTCTTAGTCTAGAAATGTGTTAATAAACTTAATCGAAATCGTTGGGGATGAGAGAGTCGTGAGTGTCCATCATTCTGTCAGCATGCAAGAACATGTGCTCATGAGCCTTCTTTGTATCAATTGAACAATCCAACTTACAAAAATGATCATATAAACACCTTCAAAAATGTATGTCACATCAACATTAGGTGTTCACATGACACAATAAGAACGAGTTGGAAGTGTTTAGTTATCAGTTGAGGCCAAATTTGAGATGTCTAAATATGCACTCTCGAAGTTTGAATGTTTGCTTATGTAATTGACAATAACATACTCACTATAATCTCATAATCGATCACAATAACCAAAAAAAAAAAGAACAAGCATTGTATATTCAATACAAATCAATTTTGCTAGACAAGTGAAATATCTTCAATTGTGAAGCAACCTCACACAGGCCCTTCAAGCAATCTTAATACTAAAGAAGAAGATTTCAACTCTCCAAAACATATGAAACTTCATTCAATTTCTGCATTTTTATCACAGCTCCCTCGTTCTGGTCTCGTTTTGAATTTCTTTTTTTCTCCGACTAACCAAGGATCGGAATTTGTCTAGACAATCTACAGATTACAATGAGCGCGCCAAGCGTTTTATGGCTAAAAATGAGATCATTGAACCTACCTTACATAATATCCTACTAGAACAAATATTAGACCTTGTAGTAAAAAAGACAAAAAAAAACAACCAGAATCTATGTATCTGGCTTAAATTAAGCTTGAAAATGAAGACGTGAACTCGTAAGGAATGTTGGCGAGAGGACCTCTCTGGCATGCAAGCTCGTGGATGTCCTTCACGATGTCAAAAACTGCATCGGGTTGTGCAAGTTTAAGTGCATTCTCTGATATAGTTTTGCGCTCATCCTCTTTGGTGCTAAACCACTCTGCAACAATCCGGGCTGTTTCCTTGGGGCTTCGTGTGAAAACACCAGCTCCATTGTCCACAACGTATGGAACGTTTCCCTTTTCCTGAGAAATACATAAAGGAAATGTAAATCAGTAAACACGGTCATAACAGCAGCTATACTACGATAGCTAGCAGTCGAATAATCAATGTTTTGATTTCACTAACTTGTCCGGGAATGTAGTCGTTGAGAATAATTGGCAGCCCTCTGATTAGTGCTTCTGCAATTGTACCTGGTCCAGCCTACAGGTGAAAATAACTGAAAATTTAGTCCCACATTTTGAACAATGCACAAAAAAGAATACACAGCAACAAAGGCGGAGCCAAAAGTTGAAGCTTATGGGTTCGGAGTTCTAGTACCTTCCAAATTATTGGGTTCTAAATTAATATTTGTACATATTTAATGGATATTTAGTACAAATACAGAGTTCGGACCAAGACTACCGAGTTCAGCTGAACCCGTAATCCACCCCTGCATAGCAATGCTAAAATAGGAGTGCATTGACATATACCTTTGTGATAATACAGTCGCAAGCGCCCATCCACTTCTCCATCTGTTTCTGAAATCCTTTAATCTAGATAGCAAGAGGAAAAAATATTCAAAAGAAAATTAGATTGTCAAATAAAGCTCAGGTGTTAACGTAGTTTTGTAAGGCGTATTCATACTCCAAGAATCTAATTCTGCTTTACCTTGACTGGGATGTTCCATTCGAGTGATTGTAATGTGGAAGCTAGCTCTTCATTGCGTCCACATATGACAACCATTTGCCCAATAGGTTTCTCCATTTCTTTATCGAAAAGAGCTTCTCCAAGAGCCTTTGCAGTTTTTTTCACTGGTCCCATCCCTTCACCCCCGCCCATCAGCAACACTGCCGGCAATGTGGGATCCATCTCGAGCTCTACTCTGAGGTCATCCTATAGCAATTATCAAGAAAACAATCAGAAAAAAGGAAAAATGAAACATGTAAAAATGAAACATGGATTCGAAGGACTGTAATTCTGTTGTAAATGAATGAAACATTCACCTTGGTAAATATTGCTCTACAAAAAGAGGGACGAATAGGCAACCCGAAAACGCGTGTTTGAGATTCCTCCAATCCATCAAATAAAGCCCTCTTTGCTACCTCCTCAGCGGGGCAGTACAATCGATTGACTCCAGGGTGAAACCTATCATTCAAAAGAGGATATCGGTTAAACTGACATATTTGACATGAAAGCTATATTGTCTGAACTCTCCAAAAATGTCACTGCACCCATGTTGAATCCTCCAAAAATGCACTACTTTTGGATGATCTAACATGCACCTGGCAGAATATTTGAAGAGTCCAAGCAACATAGCAAGAAAGTGTTAGATATATTCAAACTCCAAATTAAGTTACTCGATAATTTACCATGTACGGTGGCAAGTACTGAGGTCTGTAATAACCGTGACAAATATTACTTTCTTTTGTAAACCTTGCCATTTTAGAACCCACAAAGGAATATGCTGCATTAGGGGATGAACGCTAATGATTATGTCTGGCTTGTACTCCATCAGGCCAGCCTCCACCTCCCTTCATTTTCACAAATCAATAATTAGATATGAAACTTAAGCAACCAGGTCAGAAATCTTTCTTAACAAACGAGACAAGTCGATATTGACAAAAAGATAAGATATGAAGCATTAAAGAAATGATTAAAGATTCTTGAATGTACTCAAAATACAGTACTATAATTGAAAATGATGAATTTATGGTGTGCTAACCTACCCGGCGCATCAAGGAGTATCAAAGGAAAATCATTTAGAAAATAACGGAAGTGATAGGTTATCACGCTAAAGATTACTACCTCCGTTTCAATTTTTTTGTCTTACTTCATTTTTTAGTATGTTTCAGAAAGAATGTCTGGCAATTCTTTAGTTCTAATTTTTCACGTGGCATGTTTAAGATCACAAGATTAAAGAACACTTAAGTACATTCTACATATCTTTCGTTTGAAACAACAAGATTCAAAAGTTTTCATTACTTTCTTAAACCTCGTGCCTAGTCAAAACTAGACAAACAAATTTAAAGTGGAAGGAGTATCATTAACCATCGGAAGTATCAAACATCTACAATTTTGAAAACAAAGAAGGAACTATACTTGGCGTAAAAGGCGGCAATGGCAGCAAGATAAGCAGAGTGTATCCAACGAGGGGATGTCCCGTGAAATGCAACCCTCCAAAGCTGAACATGTTTAACCATGAACTTGTATTGCTGTTCCATGGTGTTCAATGGCCATCCAGTGTATTCTTTCCAAACATCTTTTACAAAAACCTACAACAATCGAACACATCTGACATTACATATTGAAATATGAATTTGCGGTACGTCCAATAAATACTTCATTAGGAATGTCATACCATGAGCGGGAAAAACTGCAGTAACTGAATTGTTAAACTTAACAAGTAAAAATTAATGCCGGAGAAGTATTTAACTAGATGGGATCTCCATAAACATGAAAATTATGTAGATCAACGCAAAGAAAACACAACTTGTAGGTAGAGATGACAACACGAATCAATATTAAATCTCTAAGCAAGGGGATTTGGGGATTCACAATATCAAACAAAAAATGCAATAAAAAGAGAAATTCAGATCAAATAGCTAGAAAACCAAAAGGATAGAACGTATATTATACATTATAATGTCCTTTACTTTCAAGAACTAACCAAAACTTCAAAGAAAAAAACTTGGTTTTTATCATTGGAAAACGGAAACTCAATACCTCAATATGAAAAATGACTCAATATTGCACATAGGGCAACACGAATCCACATGGAATTTCTAAGCAAGGAGATTAATGGGATTCACAATTCCAAACTAAAAAAATGCAACAAAAAGAGCAATTCAGATCAAATAGCTAGAAAACCAGAAAGATAATAACTTTACGATGTGATATCCTAAAACTTCAAGAACTATTCAAAACTTCAAAAGAAAAAAACTTGGCCTTTATCATTGGAAATTCAATACCTCAATATGACAAATGACTCAACAACAGATAGGACAATCGCAAATCGACATAGCATTTCTAAGCAAGGGAATTCACAATCCCACATAAAATGCGGCAATTCAAATTCAAATAGCTAGAAAACCAGAACTATAATAACTTTACATTATAATATCCTTAACTTTCAAGAACTAATCAAAACTTCAAAAAAAAAAACTTAGCATTCATCATTGGAAATTCAATAACTCCATTGGACAAATGATACAATAATTCACATAGAACAACACGAATCGACATAGAATTTCAAAGCAAAGGGATTCACAATTCCAAACAAACACAGCATTTTCATATCAAATAGCTAGAAAACCATACAGATTGAAACTTTACATTATACTCATCCCCAAATTCCAAATGAAACGCATCGCGAATAGCCTCAGCTGAAGCCCTATGCCCACCCCCTGTATCACTCATCAAAATAAGCACATTTTTTGTCCTTTCAGCACCAAGCTGCACCATTTCCATTGTATCATTTTCATCTTGAAATTCAATATTACATCTCTTTGTAATATTGTTATTCCCTACAAACCCATAAACCCCAACTCTCTCCAATACCGTGCTTATTGGATTCCTCACCGGAATCACCTCAGTCACCATTTTTCCTCAATTCTTGAAATCTCTATATTTGGTAAAAAAGTTCAAATCTTTTTCCACTTTTTAGCAAATGTATATCAAAACCAAACACCCATCCACATAAAGATTTCAAATTATCAAGAAAAGAATGAATCCACCACTCCTTTGACCTGCCGGAAAATGGGGTTCTTTTTCCCGGCAAGATCAAAGAGTTGGGGATTAAAAAAAGAGAAAATGGCTATAAAAACACAAAGGGTCAACAAAATTTCAAGAAAATGGAAGAATTGGACACCCTTTAAAGGATTTTCAGAGAGTTGAAAGCATGGAGAAATGGGGAGTTTTTTTCTCTTTCTGTTAATAGGAGATGATGAAAGGACAGAACAGAGAGATATGTGGAGAATGGTTCTGTATATTTGGTGGCAATGTGTTGAGGAATTTTTATGACATAACAAATCAGTACGTTCAAATTGACAATTAAATTATTTTAATTTTAAATATAAATGTTTATATGATGCTTTTACAAAATAATTATATCCATGTCAGAATTAATCGATGAATTGGAGTGTTTTATTATCCGTTAAAATTAAGTTAAGATGTTTCGATGTACACTTCTAAAGTTTAATTCATTACTTACCAGCTAAGAATAAATTTGAATATGTATTTATGTATTACACTTTTTTTAGCGTATTCAAATATAACTCGCTAAAAATAAATAACTTATATAGTCATTTCTCTTTTTTTTAAAAATAATTATGAATTATGATGTTTGGAATTGCTTATTCTATGTGTTATCTCTTATTATACATGATTTGAAATCTATTATTTTTATTTTATTTAATACTATAGATTTTTACTGTTCGAGCCGAAAATATTAAATATTAAATTTTTATATATTTATGTCTAATTAAATTATGTCACGTAAATTAAAATGTTTGAAATTTGATTTTGAAGTTGATTTGTAAAAAAAATACAATGTGGTGGTCCTTCCATATGTCTTTTGACAGATGTTTGCATACATTCAATGAGAATTAAAATCTTATAATATGATATAATACATAGTTTTTATGGGCCATTGCCAAGTTTATTGAGTTGTATTTAGTCCCAAAAAAAAAAGGAAGGTACCTTTTTGAAATTTCAAAATTTTAAATTTAAAACTTTTAAGGAATATGCCTTTATTAGAAAAAAGTTAAAATAGTAGAAAAAGACAGAAAAAGGAAAGTCACAAATCAGGTACACATGGTGTTGTCTGTTACCATTTTCAAAGATTATTAACTTTCGGAGTTGTTTGGTTCGTAGACAAAGTTATTTTAATGAGAAACGATATTTCGAAGGTAGAATAAAATAATATCAAATTAGAAGAAATAAAGTGAGATATCCAAAAATAAGGTTGCGCTCATATTTATATTCCATTTGGTTGAAGGTATAAATCCAAAATTAACGTTACGATTAAATATATACTATGTTTAATTGAAGGTATACATTTACACCTCCAACCAAACAAAATATAATTTTAATCTCTTGATATATCTCACCTTATATTACGTACCAAACGACCTGCCGTTTAAGATAGTATAATCCATCAACTTGTCATAAACTAATGACTTATATAAATTCTATTAGAGTTAGACTAATACATCACAAATATTTTCAAAGAAAACACTGAAAAGTTTATACTGATTGTTGATGCATCTTGTAAGCTACATTGCCCTCTCAATACATCTGGTATCCAAAAGATTAAACGCGCACCTTTGACTCGAACTATATATAAACATAACAGATAGTTACATTGTATCGAGATCTTAAGACATATGTATATATGTCTACACAACTCGGAGCTTTTCAAATCCTGAATCTGCATCTGAGGTTATCTACATTCAGGTAGAGAAGCAAACCTACTCAATTGATGCCACGACAGATCGGGCAGGGAGGATCTGTTGCATTGTCATGATGAGTTCTTTCCTCCAAACAATCAGCATGGTAAAGATGACCACAAACTAAAACTGCCACAACAGAGGGCTCGTAGGAAGGTATGTTGCTATCGAGCATATAGTGTTTCTTTCTCAAAGGCTTCTGACATAATCCGCAAAACTGCTTGGTGACGTTGGAAGACGTTGCATTTGTTGCCAGTAAACTGGGCGCAACGCCAACACTTTCTGGTTTTTGAGGTTTACTCTCTGAAAAGAAATGCAAAGGAAGTCAAGTGAGAAGCAGAAAATAATATCAAAGATGTTAATAGTGCAGTGTTATCAAAAACATAAAGCGGAATCCGTTGGGGCTTTAAGTGCAAATCGAAAATAAAGCATGAGCTTTAATGAAAAAAGACGCAAAGGGAGCAAGAAAATACAAATATATATATTTAGTCGAAGACTAATAATTATAGGCATGAATGACAAATATATGAACAAAGAAAGTGAAAAAAAATACGACAAAATGAAATTTCAGTTGTTTAATGTCGCCTCTTTGGAAGAGACTCATTGACAAAGAAAAGTATGACTTAGAAGATTTGATGATAACACTAAAGCATACTTTAAGCAAGGTGAAGCGCTCAACACATTTTGAGCCTCGCTTGAAGGCCTAAGTGCGCCTTTGACAACACTGCTCAAGTGTTGCTTAAAGATGATTGGCTTAATACACGAACGACAACTTGAACTTGTCCAAACATTTTTGTTTTTCATTTAGACAACTAATCTAGAGGCCCTATGCATTGAACACCTTATGTTATCAAGAATGTGCCTATTGAACACGCCTTGATGTACGTGTCTCTGTTTTGCAGAAAGATTGGATCTTTCGGAGGAGAAATTTTTTCCAACTCCTCTTCTTCTTCCTCCTCCCCGAAAGAACTGGTGTTGCCAGAAAATGAAGCTTTACAGAGTTCTTCTTTTCAACTCCTCTCCCTTTGTCTCTCTTTCATGTCATGAATTCTTATTTTTCTTTGGTCATTGGTTTTATTTGTCATATCAAGAGCAAAAAACGTTCATGCACCTTAGTTTGTTTAGAATTGTAAGATAAGTGATCAATACACATTTTTAATAATGTAAACCTTTCAATAGGTTGGGGCCCTAGATAGGTGTCTAAATGAATCTTTTTTCTTGGCTCAGCCATTTAGGGGGTCGTCTATGTATTCAACCAAGTAGATTCAAAAGAAAGATAAGAGAATCACGCAAGACTGATACAAAAAGAACATGAAAATTGATTTACAAGGCCACCTTTAATTTCTATTAGAACTATCTTACATTTGATGGCAAAACAAGAACTTGGCCTCCAAACGAGACCAAGATCCATGTGCAACTACTAAGGAGTTGCACAAGATGTATGTGGAAAAAGATAAGGAAATAAGTTGCACCTGTGTCATGTCCAGAATCCGAGTTGCATTTACTAGCTGACTTTGCAGACATCAGCTCATCATAAAAAGAAGTGGTCCCACCACGGGAAGTTGATGCCTCAGCATTATTAGAAGACCTCCGTCGAGTATAATGGAGCCCATAGTAGTGATGAGGATTCTTTGAACACATTGCCTGGTCAATATTTCGACGGTGAACAATGGATGGTTGTTGACATTGTGTTGCCTTTGAAGAATCATCTATGATATCCATAATTGATGAGAAAGACTTTGTTGCATAGACATCAACTTGATGAGAGGTCTGCCAATTAATACAAGAAAAGATCTAAGAAGGATAAGCAAGAACATTGTAATGCCAAATCATTTAGTGTTGGTACTCTTTCACCTCCCGATTATGTACATAAAAACCTTCTCCTCATAAATTTTTAAGGTGGGAATGTCACAACATTAATAACTAAGTCAATTAATCCCAGCTCATCAATATCTATAGAATACAGTCAATCGAGCTGATATATATTCTTCCACCATTTTACATGATTCCCAAAAATGCAACAGATGCAGATGTGTAAGCAGAGTAACTTTGAAGATTGAACCACATAGCAAAACTAGCAGAAATATTTAACTACCACTGCATGACAGGAAAGAAAGCTAACCTGTCTCGACAAGGCATCCATTCCAGGTGGAGGCAGCTGGTCTGCAGCAACATGAATAAAGCTTCGAATTACTATTCAAGTATTTGACTGTCATTTCTCAAGGAAACTAACTATGCAAGCACAATGAATATCTCCACAAACATTTTTTCATTCTGTATGTATGTGCTAGTGTTGATTGGTAGGACTTAGGAGGGAGACTCCGTTGAACTCGAACAAATACTGAACGAACAAAAATCATCCTAGAATTTGTATGTCATGCTTCTAAGAATTTCTCACACGAAAAGCATTACAATGATGGTGAGCTTCTTCTAGAAAGAATTCTATTCAAATAGAAGAAACTTAGTGCAGCTACACTTTAATAAGGCAAAATAATCGGAATTTTCGGTGTGTGACAACGATAGGGTAGATGGAACAAGAAAATGGCATGGGATACTATGCAGCAAAAGATCAAGTTTCCATCAGACCATCTTCCGCATAAGTAGAAAAATAAGGTGATGCAAATGGCATATGTTACATATCATAGTTGGGAACCAACGTAGTACGAAGCAGAAGGAAAAGAAGTCTTGCGAAAATTGTGAGGAGTATGGAGAAGTGATCCCTTGACAGTTGAAGGTCATACGCAGATAACGGTAAGTTAGCCACGAGGTCATGTTCAACAATGCTTAGATATCCTATATCACTACTAAAAGTAAGGAAATCCAATCAATAGTGAACATATTATTTCTGTTTCTAAAAGAGTGAAGTGAATTCTCATGACTAACCAACTACAAGCAATTTAAAAGACATAAAAACTCAGATTATTGATCTGAAATAATCGTCTAAAATCCAAAAACTCAAACACAGGAAATGGAACTTTCTACTAAAATTCCATTCACCAAACTCTAAAAGCCTAACAATTCATCGGAAGTTAAACCTTTTGTTGGATAAATGAATTGCTCTCCACAAAGAATGTAAATAAAGCAACCTTTACTTGTTAGCAAGCTGTCAACTAAGGGACCAACGTCCCAATACCTTTTTTTACTAACTAAGGTGTCCAGATTAGCTTGTGCACACTCAAATAATTCCACGAGAAATCTGGTATTCCCACCAACACAAGTATTGCGTAACTCTGTTCACCTAACCTTGGATAAATAGGAAGAAATCACCTAGTGTTTTTGCCTCCGCTGGAATTTAACCACTAGAAAACGTCCATACTTCCCAGCACATTAAAAAAAATGGAACTATACCATTAGTGATTGATAACTATAAAACAAGCAATTTTTCTATTAAGAAGCTACAATACCTCACTACCCACTCTACCCCTCTAAACACCTTTTTGGAGCAGCATTGCATAATTTCAAGTAAATTACAACACCAAGTATAATGTTAATCGAACAGTCAAATCAACCACCGAGAATTCTTCCAAACAAGAAAAAGAATAAAGAAAATAAGACAACAGGGTGAGCATTTTCAGCGGAAATAAACACAAAAGGGAAGAAGAAGCATTTATAAGCAAGAACCAACTTTTACCAGTACAAGAAGAAATCTTATTGAGATCAGTTCTCCTCTTTCTTTTCCCGATATGTATAATACACACACAACAACCAATTATATGTGAAATGTAAAAATCCAAGTGTCAACCTAAAGAAAACGTCCCAACATTGCAGAGCCACGACTTTCGCTAAGAGGATTCAAAATATAAACAAATAGCACAAACAAACCAAGGGGATTATTCATCATGTACAATATATAAACACACATAAAAATATAATTTTGATCTTATATATATACCGTGTAATTTCTACCAAATCCCTAGCTCCGCCCTTGAGTCCCGATACTTCCAACATTAAGAAATAAATGAGACTCTAGTTTTAGACATTAATAACTACTCCCATTAACCTAACAATTTCTCAATTAACAACCTATAACCACAACCCCCAATCTAAACACCTTTTTTGGAGGGCGGAGCCAGGTAGGGTCAAGGGCTTCATTCGAACCCCATTCGACAACAAATTAAACTATTTATAAGACAACAAAAGTGAATTTTGAACCCCTTACTATTCATATTTCGTAACCTAGTGAAAATACTGGCTCCGCCGCTTACTAGCATTGCATAATTCCAAGTAAATTACAATCAATAGAAAAACAATCAAGAAAACAAAACAATTCAGCACAAAAAAAAAACAAGAAGCATTTTAAGCAAAGTACCAATTTTTACCAGTAAGAGAATGAGTTTTATTGAGATCAGCTCTTCTCTTTCTCTTCCCCATAAGTTTTAAACACACACCCACAAAGCCAATTTCATGTAAACTCAACAAGATTAAAACTTTTTAGAAAATCAGTGGCTATTTAGCCACTAATTTTTGGGGTTTTGGGTAGTTAATTGCTTAATTTGGGAAAAAATGGATTCTTTGGGGGGTGGGGTGGGGGTAGGGGGGTTAGAGCAAGGACACGATGGTACGAAAAATATAAATTTCACAGAAAAGACATGGGAGGAGAAAGAAGAGAGACGTGTCGTTAACTTAGCTCTCGGTTTGATCATAGATTTCGAAGTTAAATTTTAGGTTTTATGAAATTTTATGTTGTATTTAGACGTGTATTTTTTATTTTACAAAAAAGAAATTATATTTTATGATGAAAAGTAAGGATGGGATATTATGATATGGTACGATATTTGAAAATTTCTAATCTTAATTTTGGTATTTGGTTTATAAAATGTTATACCATGACCATATCAATTTAAATCGGTATAGATTAGTATGTTGAAAATCGATTTCGATATTTTACGGTATGGATAATTGATAATTACAATTTGTTCAACTTCGATTAACATATACGCGTATATTGAAGTATTATGGCTTGACAATTAAACAAAGTCTTAATTGTATCATACTAACACATTATGTATGTACAAATATATGTATAAGTACGAACAACTCCTTTTGTTAGTCGATTACAATTCAAATACTTTTGTCAATCAAAATAGAGTAGTCAAAGTTTTAACTTCTGAACATTTAGTTTATACTAATACTAGTTTGCATATTTGTCAATGTTTAAATAATGTATATGTTATATATGTAACTATATTCTTATATATTGTATTTGATATTGCGGCATGTTATACCTAAATATCAAATACTAAAAAAATTAAAATATATATCATATATCATACCGTAGGTTTTGACTAAACTAAGTCATTATATAAAGTAATTCACCGAAATAATACATTTTTTAAAAAAATTTATAAAATTAGTATAAACTTATTTCACAGTAACGTTTTAGGGTATATTTTATTTTTTAAAAGTTGACGACGTTAGATTGATATACGTTACTCACAGTAACGTTTTACTCCTAACACGTTACTCATAATAACGTTTTAGGAGTAAAACATTACTCAAAATAACGTTTTAGGAATAAAACGTTATTCACAGTAACATATATCAACCTAACGCTGTTAGTTTTTATAAAATAAAATCTATCCTAAAACGTTACTGTGAAATACGTTTATACCAGTTTTGTAAAATTTCTGAAAAAAGTATTATTTTAATAATTTGCTTTATATAATGGCTTTTAGTCAAAAAATCATAATATCAAAATCACTATATTAATTTTTTTTAGTATAATATAATATTTCGATATATAGCATACCATGTCCACCCGTAACGAGAAGTCTCAAAAGTTACTCTAAATTGAATTTTATAAGGTTGAAAATATTTAAAAGATCAAAGTTTGAAATATGGCTTGTTTTTGTTACCTATCGAACTATTTTTTCTAGGATTAATTTTGTCTCGATAAATGACAATGTAATTGTTAGCACTCGTATGGAGACCTTTAATTTACTATGTGAAAGATAAAATAATTTAGTAATATGGCTAGTATACTTCACATGTTTCATACTTTAATTATCATATATCCCTATTTTCTTGCAAATTATAATTTCAAAAATTAAACTCATCGAAGAATAACATCACATTACATTTTCTAAATATATATGTTTGAAACTGGAAGTGGATTTTCTTTTTCGAAATTTGAACTATTCATTTTCATTTCGAACAATAGTTAAAAAAAATTAAATATAAATAACACTTTTTCTTGATTTTTATCCGATTTTCGCATTCAAATTTGCGATAATAGTGTTGAAAACCGCAATTTATTAAGAATGTGTTTTTCTTAAAAAGATAACATCGCTTTAAATGACACTATGTATTCAGGCTACAAAAACAATCACATACTTAGTATTTTCAAAAATAAAGTCCAAAAATATTAAGATATACCTAGGTCTTATTATTATTTCATTATTTTTGTTGATAGATCATCGACTTAAAAGATTATGCACACAGACTACGAAGTAAAACTACTCTAGTATTTTCTAGAAAATGGGTCAAAAGGATAGGCCCATTAGCCCAAAAAAGGCTTGTTCTTGCATATCCATGACCCAATATATAGAAGCCTTTCATCTTGAAGACCAAAACAATTTTCAAACTCTACATCATCATTGATTCTTCGGTGAATCTTGTTATAGACAGAATATTAGCGTTATCTAACATATTTGATTTCTATACTATTTATTAAGATCAAATGTAGGTTATCAAAAAATTATAGTTGATAGTACGAATGTGACTTTATCTTTTAACTAACTAAGTTCATCAAACAAGTATTACGTTTGATCATAACTCTGACCCAATCACCCTGCTCAACCCTCTCAATTAAAATCAATTTTCTATTAAAATGTTGAAGATAATAATTATTCTAATAAGTTTATAAATATTTGAATGTGTTGAATAAGAAAAAAAAACTAAAAAGAATGAAGAATATGTTTTGAATCCTAAAAATAAATTATGTGTTTCTTTGCTAAACCTAAATAAGATACTAAAGAGATAAATGAAAATGCTTAGGACTCTTGATGTAATTTTCTATGCTTAGTAATTTTCTATCTCTTTTTGGTCTACATGGCACTAGCTTGAAAAAAAAGCAACCAGTGTTGGGCCAACAAGATAGTGTCACGGAGGCTGAAAAGGGTAGAAAATTACTTATAAAATAAGTTCAGGGGGTAATAGGACCTTAGTATAATATAAGTGTGTCTCTGAGATTTTGGGCATAGGTTGAGGGGTATTAGCGCATTATCCCTTATGAAATCGAAGAAAACTGAAAAAAGAACAAATAAAATTTGTTGTATAATTCATTAATTGTTTGTTATATTAAAAATAAAAGACCATATCATTATTATTTATAGAAAAACAAAATAAAAGGTGATATACGTTATTTGTTGGGTAGATACTAAATTAAAAGAAAACTAAATATACTGTATTTAATGTAGATTTATATTCTAAAATATTTCTAATTAGAAAAGCAAAATGTATTGTACCATTAATATAAATCATAAATTAAAAGGGAAGTAAATTAAAATACTTGTTTTAAATTGTTTTTCAATTTAAAATTTTAAGATAAAATAATTATTTTCTTTTCTTATCCTTTATATGTAGTAATTATTCCTAAAAACTACATACAATATTGAATGAAATGAATATTTGACGAAGAAAGAGATATTATCTTGAATTCTTGATATGTTAATAATGAAAAAATAATCAAAATTTTTCTAATTTTTTTTAAGACACATATAAAAAAAAATATCTTAAAGCCATTTTTACATGCACAAATTACTAACGTTCCATCCCATAACCATAACGTAAATTATTGAATAGTAATGCTAACAAACAAAGATAAGAAAATGACAACAATTAATAGAAGATGATGTATAATTCAGAGGAAAGATTAGAAAGGTAGCGACTTATTTGTTTCCATTAATATTAAGACGTCTGAATTGAATCTGAATATTTAGAAATGCATTAAGATCTATATATGTAAATCTGAATAAACATTTAAATATTTTAAGATGTTGTCCTTGAATCTAAACACTGAATTATTGGGATTGTTTGTTTTCGATATCTGAATATACATGTGAAAATAAATGTTATATTAATAAAATATTATAAAAATTTCATTTTAATAAAATATTTTTTTTATAGAAAATGATATTTTAAACATTCTTATTGTAACAAACAGTGGCGGAGCCACCATAGTTTTAGGGGGTTCATCCGAACTCTCTTCGATGGAAAATTATATTATTTTTATATAATTAAAATATTTTTTTATGTATATATAGTAGATGTTGAACTCCCTTCGGCTACTTCGTGTGTCTATTCTTCAGATTTTTAACTCCCTTATTGAAAATTCTGACTCCTCTTATGGTAACATGATAATATATCTATTAAGAATTTAACATTAAGTTACATTATTAATATAACTATTCTTTACACTCAAAAACTTTGAAAATCTAATATAACGCAATGTAAAATAGTTTATATAGAGTAGTAATATAATGTTTATGAAATTTTTTTATTTCATTATGGACATTTGTTATTGTTATGGATCAACTAATTAATACTTTCTTATTTTCTAAAATTGTGCTAAATATTATATCATGAAGTGCTTATCAATCAAATGTATTAATTAATTTGGAAAAGGGCCTAAAATACCTTCAAAGTATTGAAAACGGTAGAAAAATTAACCTTCATGAACTTATTGGCTCCAAAATGCCCTTCTCATCCACCTATTGGTTTCACAATACACTTTTGATTCAAAATTGACCACTTATTTAACTATTTAAAATTAAACTGGTAAAATATTTTTAAAAATAATTGGCGCTCAACTATTGGTTATAATTTAATTTATTAATATAACGTATAAATCAATCCACTACCCACTCATTACTAACTAAATCGCACCCAATTAATAAATCAATTATATCAAAATCGCCATAAACACACTAAAACACGAAAAAATTACAGATTGCTGAAAATAACATCCAAATTATTTGAGTCATATCGAAGCCCCAATTAAATTTAGATTGAGCCACTTATTAAGGAAGACACTTTTTATAAGATTCTCTTTAAGCTTGAATTCGAAATTTATGATTAAAGGTAAAGAAGTAGTACATCCCGAATTAATTCATGAATTTTTTAAATATAATTTAATAAATATTTATGATTTATTTTAAAACCTTTAGTAAATTATTTTAAAAAAAAGTTGTCTATGAAGTAACATCACATAATTGAGACGAAAGAATAATTAA